GCTGAAGGCTGAGGCTGAGGCTGAGGCTGCAGGCTGATGCTGAGGCAGGCTGAGGCTGAGGCTCAGGCTGATGCAGGCTGAGGCTGAGGCAGGCTGAGGCTGAGGCCGAGGCTGAAGGCAGACTGAGGCTGAGGCTGAAGCAGGCTGAGGCTGAGGCTGAGGCAGGCTGAGGCTGAGGCTGAGGCAGGCTGATGCTGAGGCAGGCTGAGGCTGAGGCTGAGGCTGATGCAGGCTGAGGCTGAGGCAGGCTGAGGCTGAGGCCGAGGCTGAAGGCAGACTGAGGCTGAGGCTGAAGCAGGCTGAGGCTGAGGCTGAGGCAGGCTGAGGCTGAGGCTGAGGCAGGCTGATGCTGAGGCAGGCTGAGGCTGAGGCTGAGGCTGATGCAGGCTGAGGCTGAGGCAGGCTGAGGCTGAGGCCGAGGCTGAAGGCAGACTGAGGCTGAGGCTGAAGCAGGCTGAGGCTGAGGCTGAGGCAGGCTGAGGCTGAGGCTGGCAGGCTGAGGCTGAGGCAGGCTGAGGCTGAGGCTGAGGCTGAGGCAGAGCTGAGGCTGAGGCTGAGGCTGCAGGCAGGCTGAGGCTGAGGCAGGCTGAGGCTGAGGCAGGCTGAGGCTGAGGCTGAGGCTGAGGCCGAGGCTGAAGGCAGACTGAGGCTGAGGCTGCTGAGAGGCTGAGGCTGAAGGGCTGAGGCTGAGGCTGTGACTGCGACTGCCGTTGCCACTGCGACTTTCATCGCGAATGCGACTGCGACTGCGAGAACAGCAGAATTCTACAACTGGATTCTCATGTGAATCTTAAGGGGAATGCTTCCAGATATGCTCCTACACATCGCTGTTAGGTTGCTTTGCCGGGATAATTTGATTTTTGGGGGGTCAAGACCCTTTCATTTCTAAATGTTCTATCCTGGGCCCCTTCCTGGCCACTAGGGGGCCAGGAACAATCAGAGACGAGCACGATCAGAAATGAACGACGTGCGCTTGACGCCGACCAGGGGCCTCTCGGGGGCGTCCACCATGTCCCGCCATCGTGCTGCCCTCCTGGGGGGTCCTCCTGGGCGTCCCCGGGGGGGGGGAGCCTCGGTCGGGGCGTCGGGAGGGCCTCCGGGGAGCTTCCTGCGGGGGCGCGGCCTGGACGCCCGCCCTGCCCCTCTCCTCTCGACCTGCCGCAGTCGCGTCGGTCCGGGGACCATGATGGGCCTGCGAGGGGAGGGGGTCCTCCACCTCCTCCTCCTCCTCCTCCTCCTCCTCCTCCTCCTCCTCTCCTCCTCCTCCTCCTCCTCCTCCTCCTCCTCCGCCTCCTCCTCCTCCTCCTCCTCCTCCTCCTCCTCCTCCTCCTCCTCCTCCTCCTCTTCGTCCTCCTCCTCCTCCTCCTCGTCCTACACCTCCTTCCCCCCTCCAGCTTGTGGTGGTGGTGGTGATGGTGGTGGTAAACAGGCCCATCAGGCCAGCCTTTCCATCGAAGGCTGCTTCTGGACGGCCCCGGGCACCCGCAAGGGCCTTCGGGCGCCGAGAACTGCTGAAATTTTCCCGTCGTGCTGTTTTTTCACGGTCCGAGCATCACCGCCCACCAAAACACCCCAACCCAACCCGAAGGCCCTGATTTGTCCTCCATTTCCAGTGTGAGGGGCGGTCGGGGAGCATGGACAGAATCACGTATGAAGCCCGTACGCCCCCGAACCCGAAATTCGGGTCTTCGGGTTGGGTTGAGGTGATCTGGCAGGTGGTCAGAGAAGGTTTGCGTCCGCCGGCGGCCCTCGCGGAGCGACTCCGCGCGGCGCTCACGCCCAGGCTTCTGCCCCGTGGGGGGCAGTCTTGCTCGCCCGCTCCTCTGCCGCCCTGCTGTTCAGTCGGGCGTGCTGAGGAGTGCCTCACGTTAGTTTCAAGTCGGGCCTGTCCCTCTACAGGAGGAGCATTCAAAAATATCAGGAAACTAGTCCGGGGACGATTTGGTTTAGCAGTGTTTGATATTTTGGGAGCATTGTTTCAATAGTTTCGATTTTTCACCCAAAATCCCCCGTAGGAGGACGGGCCCGATTTAACATTTGTTTCTTATCTCCCACTGTGCCCTCAGAGGCTTGGGGCACACCTTACTAAGCTCAGATTCGACGAAGGCTGTCATCGCGGATTTATTGGATGGGCGCTGGCCCCCCCCCCCCCCTGGCAGCGCCGATCCAAGAAGTCCGCGCGGACCTCCGAACGTTGTTCCCAACCATCCTGTGGTGTTGGGTCCTCGTTTTGAAGAGACGGTGCCCCGCGTCTCCTTCCTCCTTCCTCCTCCTCCGCCTCCCTCCGCCCCCTCTTCCCTGCGTTTCACCCACCCAGTACAGCGTTTCGTAGCCCCATAGGGAGCTCCGCCGAAGGCCCCAGTGCTGCCGTCCGCATGCGTCCCGCACACCCAATTCGGCACACCCCTCACACGTTTCGTGGCCCCATAGGGAGCCCCACCGAAGGCCCCAGTGCTGCCGTCCGCATGCGTCCCGCACACCCAATTCGGCACACCCCTCACACGTTTCGTGGCCCCATAGGGAGCTCCACCGAAGGCCCCAGTGCTGCGCCCGCATGCGTCCCGCACACCCATTTCGGCACACCCCTCACACGTTTCGTGGCCCCATAGGGAGCTCCACCGAAGGCCCCAGTGGCTGCCGTCCGCATGCGTCCGCACACCCATTTCGGCACACCCCTCACACGTTTCGTGGCCCCACAGGGAGCTCCACCGAAGGCCCCAGTGCTGCCGTCCGCATGCGTCCCGCACACCCATTTCGGCACACCCCTCACACGTTTCGTGGCCCCATAGGGAGCTCCACCGAAGGCCCCATGGCTGCCGTCCGCATGCGTCCCGCACACCCATTTCGGCACACCCCTCACACGTTTCGTGGCCCCACAGGGAGCTCCACCGAAGGCCCCAGTGCTGCCGTCCGCATGCGTCCCGCACACCCATTTCGGCACACCCCTCACACGTTTCGTGGCCCCATAGGGAGCTCCACCGAAGGCCCCAGGCTGCCGTCCGCATGCGTCCCGCACACCCATTTCGGCACACACACCGTGCCCCACGCATGCGTTCGGCACACCCATAGGGAGCTCCACCGAAGGCCCCAGGCTGCCGTCCGCATGCGTCCCGCACACCCATTTCGGCACACCCCTCACACGTTTCGTGGCCCCACAGGGAGCTCCACCGAAGGCCCCAGGCTGCCGTCCGCATGCGTCCCGCACACCCATTTCGGCACACCCCTCACACGTTTCGTGGCCCCACAGGGAGCTCCACCGAAGGCCCCAGTGCTGCCGTCCGCATGCGTCCCGCACACCCATTTCGGCACACCCCTCACACGTTTCGTGGCCCCATAGGGAGCTCCACCGAAGGCCCCATGGCTGCCGTCCGCATGCGTCCCGCACACCCATTTCGGCACACCCCTCACACGTTTCGTGGCCCCACAGGGAGCTCCACCGAAGGCCCCAGTGCTGCCGTCCGCATGCGTCCCGCACACCCATTTCGGCACACCCCTCACACGTTTCGTGGCCCCATAGGGAGCTCCACCGAAGGCCCCATGGCTGCCGTCCGCATGCGTCCCGCACACCCATTTCGGCACACCCCTCACACGTTTCGTGGCCCCACAGGGAGCTCCACCGAAGGCCCCAGTGCTGCCGTCCGCATGCGTCCCGCACACCAGGTGTGTGGCGTGCCGACATGGGCGTCGCGGCGCGCGGGCGCTGCCGTCGGGGTTCCCAGGGAAGCCCCCTGCAGAGGCGACGCTCAGAGTCACGAGTACCGAGAGTCACGCAGACCCAAACTGTTCACAGTCGTATACATACATTTACACTGGGCGTATCCATGCACGCATTCATGCGAATAGAATCAATCGCGCGCAGATTCATTCATAATCAGACTCGCTCGCGATCCGACTCGCACGCGCTCAAGCTTTCATATTCGGACCTATCGTCTTCGTTCGTGTTGTGTACACTGCCACGCATTTCGGCACACCCCTCATACGGCTCGTGGCCCCCTAGGGAGCGCCACCGAAGAAGATATTCACAATTGCGGTACTCTCAACTGCATATGGTTGGGTCCTTCGCCAGGCTAATGGTGTATGGTTTTTTCCTCGACCGATTGTTGTGTTTTGACAGTCCCATGGGGCCGATGAGGGCCCCTGGCAGGCCGAACACGGCAACAACACTTTCTGTCGTGTTTCGTTCGCGGCGCGAGAAGGGTTGGCGTCGTCGGCGTCACCCCAGCATTCTAACATTATGTGTGCGCCGTCCCCCACCGGGCGACGCGCGCGCGCCAATTTCTGGCCGTACCGCTTGTGAAACGATGTATTGCAAGATGGTTGTGCCACATACTCGGGTCGGACGCACGTCTCCGAGGTGGACACATCGAACTAGTAATTATGTCCATGTGCATCCCATCCGTAGTCGTTCTGGCTCAAACCATTACTCCACACTACACTTTTGGAGGGGCCCCCCTCGCCATCGGGGCCTCCCAGACTGGGGCTCGGAGCAGATGTGGTCGGAGGAGGTATCGCGCCGCACCGCCGGTGCATAGGCGATTTCGCGCGAGCTGGGGCCTTTGCTTCGGCCACGCGCAGAGGGGGTCATAGGGGGGGGGGGGGGGCAGGAGGAGGATGCGGAGGAGGAGGACCGGGCTGGGGGAGGGGCGAAGGCTGGGCGATCGTCGGCCAGAGGATGTGGGCCTCGCCCTCCGTGGCGTACGTTGGGCGGGGAGCCGACCCGCTGCCTGGGATCAGAGGGGAGGGAGGATGAGGACGATGAGGAGGATCGGACACGCGCAGAAAGGTTTAGGGGGAGGGTGGGAGGGCTTCGTAGAAGCGCCCCCGCTTCTCAGAAGGCGCGGGCCTCGTCTGTGGATGTAGGGCCCGCGCCTTCTAGGGAGCAGCCTTCTTCTAAGAAGCCTTCCCCTCTCCCTCTACCCCCCCGTGCGCGCCGCCAGGTTCTTCTCCATGTCTTCTTCCCCGATGCGTCGGCGATGCATCGACAGTGCGGCGCGATCCAGAGGGGCTCGATGCATACACCACGTCACTTGGCAGGCCAAGGAGGCAAGGACCTCGGCGAAGGAGCTCGGTGCGCCATCGCTCCAGCATCCCACAGCTTGTCAGGCGGGGGCACCTACACCGCGGACTCTGGCTCCCTGGCCGACAAGGCGACTGCTCCGACCCCGCTTCGGGGCCTCCATCGAAGAAGATAAACCACATAAACATTAACTTTTGGGGCTCCGCGCGGATTTCTTGGATCCGCGCCTGGGCCCCCCGGCGGCGCCTCCGGCGCCGCCCCTGGCGCGCTCCGCGCGCCAGGAAGGGGGGTCCAGCGCGAATCCAAGAAATCCGCGCGGAGCGCCAAAAGTTTATGTTTAGGTTGTTTTTTCTTTCTCCTAAACATAACGCCAGAGCCCTGCACCCTGTCTTTCTCCGTCATGTTTCGAACCAGATCGATCTGTGAGGGTCCCGGGGCCCGAAACCCGGCGAAAACGCCCGTTGTGCAGAAATGCGACGCCCGGATCTGAGGGCTACGCGAGCATGTCTGGGTTTGTTCCGACGCCGCTTCGAGAGGCCCCCGTTGCCGCCTGGCATGGCGCGGTTGCCCGTCGCGTTGGCCGCGTGCCTCGCCGCGATGGGCGTGGCCCTGCCGGGTGACCGGCCGGCGGCCCTCTTGCAGCGCGACGATGAGCTCCAGCGCGACGACGAGCTCCAGCTCGACGACGAGCTAGGCGTTGGGGACGAGGACGACGACGGCGAAGCTCTGGTTCGTTCCCCAATTGCCTCAGATCCGGTCGTTGCAATTTTTCACAACGGGCCTTCGCGCCCGTTTTTTCCGGGACCCCCACAGTTCGAGGCGGGTCGACAAATGAAGCAGAAGTATAGGTTCTAGGGTTAAAGCCCTAGAACATATTCAGGCAAGCTTACTTGCATGGCGTTCGCCCCGCCCCCCCCCCCCGCCCCTCTTATCCTGAGTCCAGAGTCTCATCAACACACGACTAAATTAGTCGTGTTTTGCTAAGACTTGTTTTGCGATTTTCTGGACGGCGACGACCATGAGCGGACAACCAGCACCCAGACCGCTGCGACGCTCGGGGTGGAACCCCCGTTGGGGGCTACGGGTGTGTGTGTGTGTTGTCGGAGGGGGGTTCCCGCTGGAGCGGGGGCCCTCCTCGGGGTCCGACAGCTCGCAGCCGTTTTCGTCATGCCTCCATCGCCTCGCACTTCTCCGTTCCTCCTCCCTATAGGTTTGAGCGCGTGCTGCTCTCTCGTCACTCGAGGCTCCGTCCTGTGTTTCCCCAGGCGGGCTGTGCCCAGTGGGCTCTTCTTTGCTTTCGAAGCGCCAGTCGGTGCGAGGCCTGCGCCGGCCAGCACCGCCGAGCAATGCCACGCGAGGTCAAGCAGTGCGCCCATGCAGTAGGACTTGGCATCGCTCGGACGTGTGCATTTTTTCTCGGCGAGATCCATCGAGAACCATCCTGGACCATCGAGCAAAAAAAAACACACGCACGAAACCGAAAAATGCACGGGAAATGGACGTCCGAGCAACGGCAAGAGGAGGCTTCCCCTTACTGGGATCCCGCCGGGGCTTCTTTTTTGGGGGGCGTTTGTCTGGAGGCTCTGGCCGCCACGCCTGGGCGCAGCCCGACAAAGCTGGCTGGGCCGGGCCCCCAGGAGGAATCCGGGGGCTGATTTGTCTGGCGCGTCTTCAGGTTCGCAGCAGCGCCAGGCAGGCCTGGGACTGAGCTTCGAAGAAGCGGCATCAGCATAATCTGTTGGAGCTCCGCGTGGATTTCTTGGATCTGGGCCTGGGACCCCCTAGCGGCGCCTCTGGCGCCGCCCCTGGCGCGCTCTGCGAGCCAGAGAAATCCGCGCGGACCTCCAAAAGTTTACGCAGGCCTGGGGCTGAGATGCATCGCTCCAGAGCTCAGAAGAGGAAGTGATACCGATACCGCTGCTCGTCATGGAGAGCCCTCGTCGCCACGGCTTGATGATCATTGGAATTCTAGTCAGAGCGCAGCCCAGGACAGGTCCAGGGAGTAGTGGTATTGGTGTTTTTCCTGTCTTCCCAAGAGCGTCCTGGAATGTTCCCTACCTAGGCTCTGCCTAGAAGGGTTCTTACTCTCTTAGCTTAAAGGGGCTGGGCAGTGCAAAGCGCCCCGGGCGGTTCCCCCGGCATCCGCCCCGCGGTTCCCCCGGTTACGTCCCCCTTTAGCTTAGCATATTTAATCTTAGCTTAGCTTAGCTTCATCTTAGCTCAGGTTTATCTTAGCTTAAATTTCCTTCATCTTAGCTATGCTGAGTTTCAGCATAGCAGGGCACAGCATAGCATAGCATAGCGTAGCATAGCATTGCGCAGCACAGCATATCATAGCATAGCATAGCGCAGCATAACATAGCATAGCAGATCATAGCATAGCATAACACAGCGCAGCATTACATATCATATCTTGACATATCATAACATATCATATAATAGCACATCATATCATAACGCAGCATATCATAGCATAGCATAGCAACACATAGTATAGCATAGCATAGCATAGCATAGCGCAGCATAGCATGGCATATCATAGCATAGCATAGCAACTAATGCTGCTTTCCTAGGGGCTCCAACTTCTAGGTAGGGTCGCACTGGGGTGATTCTCAGAGTCTTCCGGAGCGCTCTGGACCGGTTGCGGCGCCCGATGCATTTTCCAAGCCCGCCAGCTCTCATACACGTCCCATCTATCTCGGCCTGGCTTCATATCTTCGTCCGGGCTTCGCCATGCGGGGGAGCAAGGCATGCCGAATCTGCTGCCCCTCCGTCGTTGAAGCCCTCGCGGGCCTCCTGCAGGGGGGCCCGGGTCCCTCGCTGCGACGGCTGGACTCGCCCTGGCACGCGGGCCAGAGCGCACCCCCCGGGGGAGGGATGTGGTGGGGAGTGCCGGTCTCGGTCTCGGCGGCGCGCCCAGGAAGGCAGGCAGAGGGGCGGGCCTTCTCGTAGGGCTCGGAAGGCCTCGGGTGATGGGCCTGTTGTCCACCACCAGCACCATAAGTTGAAGTGGGGGAGGAGGTGGAGGACGAGGATGAGGAGAAGGAAGAAGAGGAGGAGGACGAAGAAGAAGAGGAGGAGGAGGAGGAGGAGGAGGAGGGGGAGGAGGACCCCCTCCCCCGCCAATTTGTGGTGGTGGTGGTGGAAAACAGGCCCATCATCGGGCCTCCTGATGAGCTTTCCGAGCCTTTTCTCTCCGAAGCCGCCGAGGGCTTCTCAGGAGGCCAGAGCGCTTCTGGGAAGCCCCGACGCCTGCCGAGAAGCCAGCCCCTTGTCTCACTTACCCTTAAGCCGGGCCTGTCTCTCTACAGGAGGAATATCCCAAAACTAGTAAAACAGCTAATGTGGGGACGATGTTTCGATTATCATTTGAACATTCTTGCTGCACGCTTGACTATTCTTAATCCTTCGTCCAAGATCCCCCTGGAGGAGGGCATGCCCGACCCTTCACTTGCCCCCTCGGCGCGCCGCCGAAGGACGGAGAGCTCTCCGAGCTCGACTTCGAGGAGGCGGACTTCCTGCACGGGCACTCGGGCCTGGACGGGGAGGGCAGGCCCAGGAAGCGCGGCGCCGAGGCGCCCCGGCGCGCGAAGCTCGAGGCCGTGACCGCGTCCCTCGACGAGGCCATCCCGCTGCTGGAGAGGGATGCTCGAGGCCTTCGGGCGTTGCCGCTGGCCCCACCCTCCCCGAGATCCTGGCGACCCAATGTTTCCGAGCCGGCCGTGTTCGCCGAATTTCGGGCCCCGGGACCCTCACGGATCGATCCGGCTTGAAACATGGCGCAGACAGATAGGGTCCAGAGCTCCAGGCTCGATTTTTCACGACGTCTCATTTTTTGTTGAGACGTCGGATCTCAGGACTTCCCCGGGCATCAGGGCATCCCTCGTCCCCCCAACAGGGCTCGCGGCGTGAGCAAGAAAGACAAGGCGGGAAGTTCGCGGCCGTTTTCGGCCTCTGGGGGCCCTCCTCCAGGCCCCAGAGCTGTCAAAAGACGGCTCGGGGACTCCAGGGGGATCCCGCATCGAAAACATCCAGACGTCGGATGTCTGGGCTTGGCCCCGCCCTTCCTGAGACATCGGGGCATCCCTCGTCACCGCTGCCGTCGTCGCCGTCGTCGTCTTCCGATCTTTGTGCTCGCCTTAGGTCGGGCCTGTCCCCCCCCCCCACAGGCGGATTTTGGACAAAAAACAAATTTCACCCAAAATATCCGAAATTCTACAAAAAGATACTAGACACATCGTCCCCAATTGATCTAGTTTTATACTATGTTTGTTTCTTCCGCCTGTAGACGGACACGCTCGACTTTGTGCTCGCCTCGCTCTCGCACGGGGCCGCATTCGCGTCTGCGCAGACCGCTCACGCCCGACTGGCCCAGACCACGCCCGAACCCCCGCTGGGCGCACGAGTCCTCCCCGCCCCCTCCCGGCGCTCCCTCTCGGGGCATGTGCAGGGCCGTCCAAAGTGGTTTTCAGTCGGGCATGTCCCTCTACAGGAGGAATATTCAAAAATAGTTTTGAACATCGTATGGGGACGATGTTTAAATTATTGTTAGATTAGTTTTGGTGCATGTGTGGGGTAGAGCGTTTTCCCAGCTTGCTGTCCTAGGGACCGTGGTCTTGGGATCTCGGATCCAGCGTAATGTAGAATGGTCAGCTACTTCTTTCGATCTTCTGCGCCGAAAGCACAACGGCATTGAAGCCAATGCAGCGTGACTGATCACAGCCTGGAGGCCCCACGGGGGCCTCCACGCGGATTTTAAAGTGAAGACACAGCTGTTGAAGGTGGCCCTGGCCAACTTCAAGTCCAAGCAGAAGGACATGGACTTAGCGAAGAGGGAGGCGACCGTGGCTATGAAGGCACTCCGCCTGGAGGCCGAGAAGCGCCGCAGGTCCGCGCAGGACCGGAGGCAGACCAAGGAGCGGGAGCGCAAGGCCAAGGAGGAGGTCATCAGCACTGCCAGGGCGGCGATGATCAAGAAGGCGCAGGCCCTCATGGGCGTGAGGGGCGGTTCGGCGGACGCCATGCTCGGAGAGGTGTCGCTGGGCGTCATGGTCGACGTGCTCATGGCCCTGCCAGAGGCGGTGGAGAACCCGGTCTTCGTGAAGCGGCTGGCAAAGTCGAAGGAGGTTGTGGTGACGTCCGTCCAGGACTTCCTCAACACCACGCGCCGCAAGACCGCGAAGTTTGTGATGGCGGCCAGCAAGGCGTCCGACGTCGAGCTCTCGTTCCTCATGGCGCGCTTCTTCCACGAGGCGTCCTTCCGAGTTAAGGCGATGCAAGCGGACGGGCAGAAGATTGCCAGGCGCATAGTTCGTCGTCGTCGTCGTCGTCGTCGTCGTCGTCGTCGTCGTCGTCGTCGTCTGCTGCTGCTGCTGCTGCTGCTGCTCTTTCCATTCCCCCCTTCCTCAGGGATCTCAACGTGGTGATGCCCGCCAAGCTGAGAAGGAGCTTCATGCCCATACTCAAAGGGCTGCGAGCAAATGCGGTCCAAGGGGGGAAGGGTCGGGTCTGGGAGGGAGGGTCGGGGAGGGTCGGGGACCTGTCGGTCTCGAGCACGCCGGAGCTCGGGCTTGCCGACGCTGTTTGACAGGTGCTTCCTGGAGATTGACCGCCCAGTTCTCGTCGGATGTTTGCAGCAGTAGCTCTCGTCAGGTTTCAGACTCGACCTCGTCACATTCATGATGGCCCCGTCAGGCCAAGCCGAGCCCCCCGAGCCCGAGTCTCGCGTCGCCCCGAGAGGGGAGAAGGGGAGAGGGGAGGTCCCTCTGCACGTGAACGCCACCGTGCTGGCGAGCTCGACCATCACGGAGGCCTGCGCGGAGATCTCCAGCCTTATGGGCAACGTCAGCGAGTACAACAACAAGTTGAACGCCATGCACAGCAACCTGCACAGCGTGTGGCAGCTCTCCGAGCTGATGCTGCCGAAGGTGGGCAAGATCTATCCCATGCAGCCCCTCGTGATAGACACCGTCAAGGACGTCATGGCGATGGCGACCAACGAGGTCGCCGGCCTCGGGGAGGCCGCGGACGAGATCGTGACTAACGTCGGCCCCATTATCGCCGAGCGCATGCAGTGCACCTGGAGCGCTGCCCTCCCGGGGTCCCGCCTGGGCTGGGCCGGGCTCCTGGCAGCGCTCGCCGGCTCCATCTTCGCCTAGGGGCGCCCCAAGACGGGCGGGCCGGGGCGGGCACACGAAGAGGAGCTGGGCGGTCTGAGCTTGCTCGCTGCTGATCCTCCCTCCTGCTCCTGCCCTCCCTGCTCCCTCGCGCCCTGGTCCCTCCCTCTCCCTGCTCCCTCCCTCCTTGCCCCCTCCCTCCTCCTGCTGCTCCCTCTCTCTCCTGCTCCCTCCCTCCCTGCTCCCTCTCCCTCCCTGCTCCCTCTCCCTCTCTCTTTCTGCTCTCCCTCCCTCCCTCTCCCTCTCCCTCTCTCTCTCTGCTCCGCCCACCTCCGTCCCCTCGCCGCGGGCGCCCCCGCAGAGGGGGGCATGCCCTGCGCGCATAGAGGACCGGTGGCGCAAGGGGGGGGCCTTTTTCGCGGCGGGCAGGCTCCCTTAACGTTGGCACGGCGGAGTATTCTTACATCGGGCGTGTCCCTCTACGGGGGGAGTATCCCAAGATAGTCCAAAATAGTCAGGGGACGATTTTTGAGGGTATTTTTTCTGGTGCTTTTCTGGGGTATTTCAAATGTTTCATCGAAAATCCCACTGTAGGAGGACAGGTCCGACTTGAGAGCAATCGGATTTCAACCCCACGTGCACTCAGTCTGCCCCCCCCCCCTCGCCTTGCCTCTAGGCTGGCAGGGGTGTGTGGAGAAGTTGCGCGAGGAGGCTCGGGAGCAGGGGGGGCATATGCAGGAGAGGGAGGGAAGAGGAGCAGCGGGAGGAGGCGCCGCGGCAGGAGGACCAGAAAGAGGAGGACGAGCACGGGCTTGCACGCTTGCACTCTACGTGGACTGAAGTCTGACAAGCGCCAAGCGGACGGGGCGGGGAGAAGAGCAGGAGAAGGACGAGAAGGGTGTAGAGGAAGAGGGAGGGATGTACCCTTCCTCGAGCCCCAAGCCCCCCGGCGTGCCCCAGTCCGAGGAGGCTGCCCCAGCCGCGAGGCCGGCCTGGGCCCTCCGCTCGTCGTCGTCGTCGTCGTCGTCGTCGTCGTCGTCGTCGTCGTCGTCGTCGTCGCCGTCGTCGTCGTCGTCGTGTCGACCGCTGCCGCCGTCCCTCGTCGTCGACCATTTGCGAGCGCTACCCCTGCCAGTCCAATCTCGAACTCCACCCCTGCTGCACAAGGAATTTGCAGTTGACATGGCGCGTGTTTCCCAGCACACGTTCAACTGCATGACAGCAGCCCAATTCGCGGCGCGGCATTGTCAGCAGAACTTCGAGCAGGCTATACACAATACTCTGTAGCTTCAGGCACAGTCTTCCTTGCATGTGCCCTGCTTAGTCCACGCACCGCGCGGTGTTTGACATACCCTTACCCGTACTACTACCCCTGTTTCCCGGAATTCGACAGTTTTGGGCGGTTCCTGAAGGGTTTTCTTGCCCCCAGGTGCGCTCCAGCAACTGCGTCTCGCAGAAGGCGTTCGGGGGGGCCCTGATCGTCCCGAACGGCCGCCAGAGACCCGAGTCATGGCCCGAAAGCCGCGTGGCCCTCCCCCGGAGCGGCCCCCCCGGAGTGGGCCCGCTGGTCGCGGAGCGACGTGTGACAGCAGCGGCTTGCGCGCTTCTGTCTGGGCCTCCGCGGCCCCTTTGGAGCTGCGCACCAAAGGCCGCGTTCTTACTTCGGGTCACTCTTGCCTGGGGCCCCTCTACAGGAAGAGTATTAGAGAATAGTCGGGAAATACTCGGGACGGTTTTTCTAGTATTTTCAACCATGTTTGAACTTCTTTTGACAATCTTTTCTGCATTTATCTTCAAAATCCGACTGACTTGCAGGGTAGGGTTTGCCCAGTCCTCTGGGGGCCCCCGCGGGCCCCCAGGACCGTCAAAGAACGGCTCAAGGTGAGACGCCGGTCCTGGGGAACGGGTCGGGACTCCACGTTCCCCGCGTTGAGACGTCGGGTCTTGGGCCGTTCAGAGAAGGCAAAGGTGCCGATACCGTTGCCCGTCCCTCGTCGCCGTGGCTGGACTCGCCTCGATGTCCTTCTCAGAACGCACACAGGAGAGCGGTATGGGTATTTCTTGTCCCCCCTGTCGTCGCGGTTCCCGTCGTCGCTCGCCCGTCGCCGCCGCCCATCGCCGTCGCCGTCGTCGTCGCCGTCGCCGTCGCTGGCCGCCGCCGCCGCGACCGCTGCCGCCGCCGCCGCCGCCGCCGCCGCCGTCGTCGTCGTCGTCGTCGTCGTCGTCGTCGTCGTCGTCGTCGCCGTCGTCGTCGCCGCTGCCGCCGCCGCTTCCGCCACCGCTGCCGCCGCCGCTGCCGCCGCCGTCGTCGCCGTCGTCGTCGTCGTCGCCGGCGTCGCCGTCGCCGGCGACGTCGCCGCCGTCGTTGTTGTCGTCGTCGCCGTCGCCGCCGCCTTCGCATTTCTCGTCTTCGTCGTCTTCCGATCAATATCCATTCGGAATCGATCCTGGGACTGCCTCTGAGTGTCCATCCTGGCCAGTTTGTCGAGTCGTGCGGGGCCGCATGATGTGCTAACCACCTCCGTCGGGTGCGAGGGCTTTTTGCGTTTGTGCTGCCATGCTTTTGCGGAGCTCAGCGCCCAGATGTGCACAGAATGGCGACGCATCTCCAAAGACTCTTGGCCGATATGGCCAGCAGCCTCAGAATTTGGGCTGGGTGAGGGCAGGACGCTCGAACACATCCGAGCCATCTCTTGGCCCCCCTCTTCGGCGCACCCGAGAGCCGTGGCGGCGAGAGCTTCCAGGCGCCTCCCCCGAAACCTCCTGTACGAAGACGTCGCCGTCGCCACGCTCCTCCGAGGCCACGTTTGAATGTTGGCTGCCGGGGAGTCTTGTGCCGTCTTCCGCAGTGGGCATGCCGTGTGCCGGGTTCAGGCCATACGCATCCCTGTCGCTTCCGCTGTCCAGGGTTCTCGCTTCGGGCCCGGAGGATCTCGAGCCTGCGTTCGCCCTGCTGCTGCTGGACGGTGATGCTTCGCGGGTTCCCTTGCCTCGGATGTAACTCCTGGGAGGTCAAATTCTGTTTGTGCCCTGGTCCGAAGTCCGGCTTAATCTGGCTTAACCCCGCTTAATCCCGCTTAATCGGGGCCAATCCCGCTCAATCCGGCTTAATCCCGCTTAATCCGAGACCCACTCCGGCGTAATAGCTCCCTAATGGGGCTTAATCCTCCTTATTCTGTCCGACGGAAACCTCCCAGTAGTTGCCTCCTAACCTTGCCTTCCCCCCCCCCAAACAAAAAAAAGCTGTCGCCGTCGCCTCGCCGCCGCCGCCGCCGCCGCCACCCGCCGCTCCTGCCGCGCCCGCGAGGCCGCCGGGAGCGGCGCCGCCCTGCGAGTGGCCCTCGCTGGCTGGAGGGCGCTCGCCGCCGCGGGGCGGCACGGCCGGGACCCGGCGCTCGCCCTCCCCCTCGGGTGGGGGAGCAGATAGCGAGATGCCGCTGCGCGTCCTCCTCCTCCTCCTCCTCCTCCTCCTTCTCCTCCTCCTGCTCCTCCTGCTCCTCCTCCTCCTCCTCCTCCTCCTACTCCTCCTCCTCCTCCTCCTCCCCTCCTCCTCCTCCTCCCTCCTCCTGCTCCTCCTCCCTCCTCCTCCTCCTCCTCCTCCTCCCTCCTCCTCCTCCTCCTCGCCCCACGGGCCCGTGACTGCCTGCAGGGCGCCGGAAAGCAAGCGAGGGCTCTCGTTTCACGCGAGCGCAAACATGGAGAAGGGGGCGTGGATCAGCGACGGGTCCCGTTTCCTAGGGAATCGCGGACTCCCGCCGCCGAGCGGGGCGGCATTGGGGCCGCATTTTGGGGAGGGCACCTCCCCCGATCCACGGATTTGGCGACTGCGCGCCAAATCCATGGATCGCTAATCCATGTTCGCGCGCCCCCGATCGTTGCCACGGCTGGATTCTCCTCGAAGTCCTGGTCATAATGCCCCCCCCGGAGAGGGTCGGGTGAGTAGTGGTAGTGGTACCATTTTGTGGCCACATTTTCGGCACTCTTCGGAAGCGGGAAGCGGTCGGGAGGTTGAGTGGCGATGTGGATATCACGGCCGGGGCCGTGGTGTCTCCCAGATCTCGTGCCGCTTGCTTCTTCCTCCAGCACGCTCCTTGGCCACCCCTCTCGTCCGTGCACATGCCTCGGGGATGCGCTAACCACCTTCCTGGCCCCCATCTTCGGCACACTCCAGATCCGTCGCCGTCGTCCTCCTCCTCAGGAGATGCCCAGGGAACTGCAGAGACCTCTTTGGGATTTCCACGGACTTCGGGGACCTCTGTGCCACATCCTCGTCGTGTTTCGGCCTTCGGGAAGGCCCTTCGTCGCCACAGCTGGACGCGGCCCCAGGCATCCGACGATGCGATTCTTTCGGCCCGCGGCACCAGAGCTCTGCAGGACCCTCTTCCTGGGGACAGTGCTCTCGCCCTGGATCTATTTCTGATGCTCTTGCAGGAAGCCCAAATCGAGGAAACGGGTCGGGATGGAAAACAAATCGAATCCTCGGAGATTTGGAGCTCGGGAAGCGGGCCAGGAGTTCACACAAAGCCCCGCGCGCTCTCCAGCAACGCTGGCGACGATGCGCCTGCGACAGGCGCCGTGCCCGCACCAGGCGACGGCGCGCCATGGCACCCACAAGGTCGCCGGCTCTTCGTCCGCAGGCGGCGGGCGTCGTTCGTCCGTTCGCCGCTGAGTTCTCGAGGGGTGAAGAGTATCAGTGACACGCGCGTCGCCTTTCCACTTGTGGGTCAGTCATCCGGTTTGTTTTGCAAGGAACGTTGGCCAGTGTGGACCCCAAGCGGTGAGTTTCCACACTGGTACTGGAAGTCATGTGGTGGAAGCCCTGTGCTGGAGGCTGCGTGGTGGAGAGCGTGTGGTGGAAGCTGCGCGGTGCAAGCTGTGCAATGTGGGCTAGATGGTGCGGGCAATGCTGTGCAAGCCATGCAGGGTGAAGCTGTGCGGTATGAGCTATGTTGCGTAAGCCATACGGCGCGCCCGCGAGGCGCCCGCGAGGCGCCCACGGGCGGGCGCCGGGCGAGACTTCGGCGGGCCCACCCGGGGCACGGGGCGCCCGCCTGCGCCCGTAGGCTCGGGACGAGGAACATCCTCGGCGGACCCGCCCGCACTGCTCGGGCAGCGCGAGGGGGAAGCACTACGCAGAAGCACTGCTTGGGGAATTGCGCACCTCCTCGGCAGCAACACGCTGATAGGGGTCGTCTGGCCGGCATGGCCGCGATCATGTATTGATGCTCCATTCGCCATCCGCTGCGTCGGAGCCCCCCCAAAGGAGAAGCAGCGGCTGGCCGGCGCCGCGGACGCGCGCCTGAGGCAGGCCGAGGCGCTGCTGGGAGCCTGCCAGCGCGGGGTGCTCAAGGGCGCTGCGCTCGCCGCCTGGAGGTGCAGCCCGCTGCCGCGCCCCCCGCCAGTCCGCCCGCGCGCCCAGTGGGCACGTCGAGTGAGAAATTGAGCTGCCTTCCTCCTCCTCCTCCTCCTCCTCCTCCTCCTCCTCCTCCTCCTCCTTCTCCCCCCTCATCCTCGCCCTCCTCCTCCTCCTCGCCCTTCTCCTCCTCCTCCTCCTTCTCCTCCGCCTCCTCCTCCTTCTCCTCCTCCTCCTCCTCCTCCTCGCTCTCTGCTTGCAGGTCTTTGGAGCTGCAGGTAGAAGGTTCCCTGCGCTTCGGGCGGTGGCTCTGGGCCACGGTGGCTGGGGTCCTGGACCAGGTGGACTCTGCCTACGAGAGCTTGGCGCGCGGCTTTCTCGGCTCCCCCCCCCTGGCGGTGCGGGGCGCAGGCGAGCTCTGAGTTGGGCTGGTCACTCTCGGGCTCGGCTCGGGCGGTGCAGGACGTTGCCTCGCGTCGTGCAGGCCTGTGGCTCCTACCGGAGGGGGACCTCTACCACGGCATCTTTGTGCGGGCCCATTCTGTTCCAGGCCCGAAGTGGGCTCGGGCGTCCCTCACTCTCCTTGACGCATGGTCCCTTCCAGATTGGCCAGCGTTCCGCGCCGCCCACGGGATGGGCACCCTGCAGCAGTACAAGGAAGCAATCCGCAACGCCCTGGCGGACAGGAGTACTACGTTGCTCCGAGGCCGCCTGCCACCACCAGGGCGCGCGCTGTCCCCCCAGTCGCTGGGGCATGTACCGAGGCCCGACCTGTCCCGAGCCCTGGCCCTCGCAGTTCCGGAGGATGTGCTGGAAGGCCAGCGGTCCCTCAGTCGTCTACGGTGCCGGCTCCTCGTCCGCTCCCAGGCCAGGCGGCAGGTGTGCATCTGCTGCCAAGGCCAAGTGCTGAGCCCACTCTTCCACGTCCTCGGCAGCTGCAGCCGGACCCAGGACGGCCGGGACGCTTTCTGGGCTTCGCGTCCCTGCGCCAGCCTCCCGCGAAGCCGCGGCCCAGGCCATCCTCAGCGTCCTCCCGGGCGAGCCGGGCTACCCGCAGGCGGTGTCCCTGGCGCGGAGGCTCGAGGAGGCGGCGGCAGCCTTCTGGGAGGCCAGCGAGCGCGGGTGAGAGAAAATATGCTCCCAGGCCTCCCTCTTGGTCCCCCCTCCCACACTCCCTGCCTCCAGCAATTGTGCTGCGTTGCGTGGTTTGGGCCGGGCTTGGGCGTGGGCTCAGGTTGGGACGCCTCTTCTCCTGGGGCGGCTCCCTCCTCCCCTCCATTGCCGGAGTCTCGTACTTGCGTCCCCTCGCCGTGCGCTGACTAGTGCAGCGGTTGGGGAGTCGGGCAGAGCCTCAAGCGCTTGGGCATTCGTTCCACGGACCGGCGGCCCCGCTTGGTACTCCCCCACTCCAGGCGGTCAGGCAGGTCGCCCATCTAGCCGCTACCGCACGGTCCTCCCTCCCTCCCTCCCTCTCGGTCCCAGTCGTCGTCGTCGTCGTCGTCGTCGTCGTCGTCGTCGTTGTCGTCGTCGTCGTCGTCGTCGTCGTCGTCGTCGTCGTCGTCGTCGTCGTCGTCGTCCGGACTGAGCTGGGCTGGGGTGGGGAGTGCTGGGCTGGCCCAGGACGATGGTCGCAGCAGAGGGCCCCCGCCGGGTCGTTGCAGGGCCGCTTGCGTTTGCCCTCCCGGGCTCTCGCGGCCCCCTGCTAAAAAGAACCCACGCCCGGGGGTTCCGAATGCCGCCCCGCCGGGGGGACACCAACCAACCAACCAACCTCCTCCTCCTCCTCCTCCTCCTTCTCCCCCTCCTCCTCGCCCTCCTCCTTCTCCCCCTCCTCCTCGCCGTCCTCCTCCTCCTCCTCCTCCTCCTCCTCGCCCTTCCACGTGAGGCGTTCCAGAGAGGTCTTGGGCGTAACAAAATCATTAGTATTCGCGGCCTCGCGGGCTGGGCCCCTGGGCCGCGACCCCGTGGCGCCGGGGCGCTTTTTCGCGGACGCCCTGTGCGGAGCGTGTCCGTGCGACCGCGCCTCCACAGGACGGTGCCCCAGAATCCAGACCGCGAGGGCGCGGGTTCGGATATGTTCGCCGCTCGTGTTCGAAGAATCGAGAAGTTGACAACTCGTCCTCGGCTGAAGGCGTCAGAGGGCCGGCAAGAAGAAGACGAGGGCGGGAGTCAAGGCGGCGGAAGCAAAACCAGCTCCTTCAAGAGATATCAGTGTTTGGGGGCTCAGGGTTTCTGGAATCCGCCACTTCGGGTAGCGGAAGCTTCGCCCCGGGCGGTCTTTGTTGAATTTCGGACCCTTACCTGTCCCCAGGACTACCAGAAAGCAACCTTGAGATGAAAAGCCAGTCCAGTGGAAAGTGGTCTAGACCTCTGGAGGGTCCACGTGGTGATCAAAAATCACGACGTCGGAGGTTTGGGCCCCGAAAGTATGTTCTTATTCCCCGATGGCCTTAGGAACCCTAACCGCACTTTGGGGCGCCCCAGGAAGTTCAAAGGTTGGCGGAAACTGGAAATCATATCTTCGTATGCTCACAGTGTATATTCGCGTGTCCTCCTCCCGAAGGACCTTCGGCCACGCGGTCAAGTCACGACGATGTTGTTTTTGTCAGCAGATTTCGGCGTCGCTGGGGCCGTCTTCGGTTTTGGGGGTCCCGCAACGAACGACCTGCGGCCCCAGGGGAGGGGCTCAAAATTTGGGGCCCCACGCCATGCAAAAGTGTGGCGTCGGAGGTCTGAGTCCTCTTCCGCCTCCCTCTCCAGGAGGCAGCTCAGGCTGCCTAATATGTTACCCGGTTGTTCTTGCGGGCAAGGTGCGTATCCATATCCACTGCATGTTGGACTTTCGGGCTCCCTTCCCCAGAGACAGGAGGCGCAGGTGATATGGATAAAAATGTGGCCCCTGGAGTGGAGGCTAGTTCTGTTTATCTATATCCACTGCGCCCCGGCCTTTTCGCGCCCCTGCCCAGAAAGTTCAAGACGCCCTGGATTTGGACATGAATCTTGCTCGCGTAAGCTGCTCCCCATTTGTTCTGGCAACGGGCTCTGCGGGTCAATTCCTTCCTCTGGCTGGCTGCACGCTCACCCCGACGCCCATGCGAGTGTGATGGGCATGTGTTCCACCACCGCCACCAGAAGTTGGAGGGGGGAAGGAGGAGGACGAGGAGGAGGAGGAGGAGGACAAGGAGGAGGAGGAGGACGAGGAGGAAGAGGAGGAGGAGGAGGAGGAGGAGGAGGAGAGCGAGGAGGAGGAGGTGGAGGAGGAGGAGGAGGAGGAGGAAGTGGAGGAGGAGGAGGAGGAGGAGCCCCACCCCCCTCCTACTTCTAGTGGAAAACAAGCCCACCAGAGTGCACACCTGAGTGCGGCTGCGAGATGCGGGGGCCGCTGGCCTGGCTGCCGAGGGCCTCGGGGCTCTGTGCGGCACCGGGCCCCCCTCAGCTCTGCAGATCCCCGTCGTGGTGCTTATCGCACGGCGTGGCTCCCCGGAGGTGCCGACCCCTTCGCCGGGACCAGCTCTTCGTGCCGAGTGTCTCTAGGCCCTCCCCCCGAGGCCGAGTACGGCCCCAAAAAGGTACCGCCGTGATCTCAGCACGACGCGAGGGCGTGAGGGCCGCGTCCTCCCCTGAGACCCGACGTCGCAAACGAATGCTCAGACGTTCGTTTTGGAGACCTTCCTTGGGGGCCTTCTGACGGATCTGTTCTTTTTCAGTTCGACTCTAGTTCGATTCAAGTTCGATTCAGTTTCGATTCAAGTTCGGCTCAAGTCGACGCAGCATCGACACATGAGTGAAGCGAGTGGCTCCAGGAAGGTTCCCAGATCGAGCATCTAAGAATGCGACATGCGCTGCCCGCATGTGGTCGTAGCGTGTTGACACGGAGCTCAACACGTAGACTGAAAACGTAGGTTTGGCGCGATGCGTTCACCAAAGCGTGGGTGAACACGTGTCGTACCAACACGCAGCGTGTTCGCACGGACGGTTTGAGCACGGCACGTGTTGCGTTTCAAGGCGGGCGTTTCAGGGCAGCGGTAAGGAGTGGACGCGTGCAGCCCGCAGCAGGCCGGGACCAGCCCCGCTGGGTCCTCCTCTGCCCCCCAAGCTGGCAGGCCCAACGGGCCCGAGGCACGGCGTGCGGGCAGCGAGACGGAGATGTGGCGGCGAGCGCGGCACCACGGGGCGCCGGGGCGGGCAGCAGGTCCGAGAGCCAGAGGGCGAGGCGGTTGCGTATATCGGGGCGGCTGCGGTCCCTGCAGAGCCTGGCGTCGCATGTTCCGCAACGGACGCTTTCGCCCCCCCGTGTTTCGCCCCCCCCCCCCCCCCCCCTCTCCTCCTCCCCCCCCCCTCCTCCTCCTCCTCCTCCTCCTCCTCCTCCCTCCTCCTCCTCCTCCTGCTCCTCCTCCTCCTCCTCCTCCTCCTCCTCCTCCTCCTCCTCCTCCTCCTCCTCCTCCTCCTCCTCCTCCCAGGACCCTGAAATGTCGGTGCGGTTCGAAAGGAGACCCAGAGAGTCGGGGTCTGGGGCTCCGGTCGTGGTTTTCCGGGAGGTTTTATATCCTTTTGCTGCCACGTCGGATCCCCGGGTCGGTGGCCGGATCCTGTACAACTCACAGCAGCCCTGCGATCACCATGCTGCGCCCGCGAGCGCAAGCAGTGCGCATGCGCGCCAGAACGATGCCTGCGAGCACTGCAGTGGCTACAGTCGGGGCCAGGAACATGTCCACTAATTATGTTACGTTATGTTCGTCCAGCACTCAGTGCAAGTGGCGGCCCAAACACGGTGTATGTATAGATCCGTACCTGCCGCCTGGAGAGCTGGCCAGACAATTATACACTTTACGTTGTCCTGTGGCGTCTCTGCGAAACTCCATGGGACAGGGCCCAGATACCTCAGTGTATACACGCGCGGTTCCCATACAAGAGCCGACACTCCCCCGCTAATTTTCTAAAGGGCACAGGTCTAGCACGTCGGTGGCCGACAGGCCTGGCGGTCTGGACTCGGCCTGCTCGAGGCACGGGCGTCAGCAGCGTCAGTGGTCGAGCCGTCACCTGCAGCGCGCGGGGGCGGTGGCGGTCAGGGCCGTGGTCGCCAGGGCGCTGCTGCGGGCGCTGTACGCGTGGAAGGGGAGCCGCCTTGCCGAGGCCCAGTGGGTTAGGTGTGTTATGCTTGAGAGTTATTTTGATCATGATTTGTCGTCTTCTCCGGCCATTCGCGTATATTAGCGCTTACTGCTGCTCATTAGTGGACGCGAGTATGGGCTAATGGGCACTAGCAGGCGCCAGTAGGCGCTAATAGGCGCTAACAGGGGCAATGCCAGGCACTAATCGGCGATAATAGGGCGGAGCCTGTGTTAGAATAATTCTCACACATGATACACACATTGGGTTGCGACGATCCCAAATCTCAAACGATATGATTTGTTCAATCCAGGCGCGTTGCACCGAGTTCGGCCTCTGGGTCTTGTTTTCGGGCCTCCGGACAGTCGAACATTGATCCAGGGCAGAACGCTGGCCCTGGGGAAGAAGCCAGGACCTCTCGGCCCGCGCACCGAAACAACAATATCGTTTGATGTGTTGGATCGGGTGTGTCCAAGACGGAAGCGAGGTGGTCGAAGAGGGTTGAGGACGTGTGCGCTGGCTCTTGGAAGACATGTTGGCGTGGTCTTGGGAGTATTCTCGCCTCGGGATGCTTTCCAGCAGCTGTGCCTCGAAGGGAGCTTCCCAGGGGTGTCCGAATCGTTCCGAACGGCAGCTGGATGTCCCACTTATGACCCGACAGCCACCAGGCGTCGAAGAGGGAGTGATCACCACGGGTGCGAGGATGTCATTGTTGGGGCCATGAAATCTCCCAAGTTCAGGGCTTTGGAAACCATGGCTTTATTAGCCACTGTATACCAGGACATTGTATCCACCGGGGGGAATCGAAGATTGGAGAATTTGTCGAGACGCTGCTGCACTTTTCTCGGGCTCGCTAATGTCCTGTTGGATCAATCTCCCCGTTCACGGGGCCCTGACCATTTCCTGGCCCCCTTTATCTTCTTCCACTGCGTTGCCAGGCCCTCCCTCGTGCGCGCGCGCGCGTGGGCCGCGTCTTGAGATGTTGGAGTTGATTACTGCTGCCACCTCCAGAAATGCGTTGCCGCTTGGCGCGGCCGCGGTGCGAGGAGCCATGAACCATGACCACTTATTCGACCAGGGTTGCTCTGGTCCTCAGCCTGGGGTGATGTGGGCGGTCTGTCTGGGCTCAAAGCCCCCTCGGGTTGCTCCCCCCCCTTCCCCTCCCATCGCTCCCCCAGGACGTCGCCTGGCTCAGCTGGGAGAAGGAGCGGCTGGCCGACACCTTGGACGCCCGCCTGCGGCAGGCCGACACACTGCTCGGGGCCTGCCAGCACGGGGCGCTCAAGGGCGCCGCGCTCGCCGCTTGGAGGTACGACCGCCGCTGCGTGCCCCGCCGGCCCCGATCTGGCGCTCTTTGTCCTAGCCTTAAGTCGGGCTTGTCCCTTTACAGGGGAAATATTCAACGTTAGTTTAAGAATAGTTTTGGGATGATGTTTCTATTGCGTTTGACCATTTGTGGTGCATGTTTTGCATCTTTTTCTTGCGTCCAAAATCTGCTTGTAGGGGGACATGCCCGACCTAACCCTAGCCCAGGCCCTGGACAGGTTGGCCAGAGGTCTGAGGAGCAAGCCAGTGGGAGGTTTCTCCGTGGGATCTGGGCCACGGGCAAGTAGGATCTCTTAGGTAGGATGCGGCGGATTCGGGGCGAGTCCGCTCTGTGTTTTGCGCCTCACGTGCTGTGGGCCTCGAGCAGAGGTTTCCCAAGGGGAGGCCGTGTCTTGTGCCTGGCCTCGCAGCCGCCCCTCTTTGGCTGGCGCACGCATGCAGCAGGTCCTGCTAGTTACTAGCGCTGCACCCCGTCGCTAGACACAATTGGCCGTGTGCGCCATGCATCCGCAAGATGTCGTGGAGGATGCTCTTGATGCGACGTCTCGTGGGCCTTTTTCCTGTCCTCGGGCGCGACAGGGCTCGAGCCTGCAGCGTTCTTGGGAAAGCGCACACACGCCCGTGGCTCATGGCCCAGCGGTTCGGGCTCGACCTGCGCAAAGCAAATACGCCAGCGGTCGAACCGCCATTTGCAGCATGCAGGAGTAGTGGCGGTCAGGGGCGCGGACGCCAAGACGCTGCTCAAGGCGCTGCACGCGTGGAGGTGGAGCCGCCTTGCCGAGGCCCAAGGGGGCAAGACTCGCATGTGGGCCACGGCTTCAGAGGCTGGAATGCAACCACCCACGAGTTCTCTGCAGCTTGTCGCCGCCGCGATGCGAGAGGTCATTTTGTTATGACCACAAGCTCGGGCGATACCGATTTCGTCCTCAGCCTGGGATGGTGTCGACGGTCCGGCTTTGAGTGTTGCCACCCCAGGAATTCGGCCACACGTAAGAGTGACCTTCTGCTGGAATGACCTTTGGTGCGGGCACATTGGGGTCCCCAGGTGGCTGAATGCGATACGATAGCAGCGGCTTGCGCGCTAGGATTCGGCATCCCCGCGGCCCCCGAAAGTCGCGCACCAAAGGTCACTCTTGCATAGGGTCCCGCTTACATGTAGCCGAGGAATGCTTTGCAGATTGGCGGCCGCGACGGCAGAAGTCATGCATGTGCCATGACCACCTATTCGACAGGGGCCGGTTTGGTCCTCAGTCTAGGGTTGTGTTGGTGGTCTGTGTTGGAGTGATGCCACCCCACGAATATTTTGCAGCTTGCCGCGGCCACGATGTCAGAAGTCGTTTGTCGTGGCCACCAACTCGAGCGAGGCTGGTTTTGTCCTCAGCCTGGGGTGGTGCTGGCGGTCTGTCTTGGAGTGCTGCAACCCCAAGCATGCTTTGCTAATGTTTGCGGTCGCGATGCTACAAGTCATTTGTCATGCCATGGCAGCCAATTCTTGACGCTTCGCGTATCCCCACCAGGATCGGTGGCTACTCATGCTGCGCGGGTTGACGGCCCCTGGAGGTCAGCCCGCTTAGAGTGATTCAGCCTTCGCAGCCTCGGCCGCCCTCCTGGCCCGTCCCACCCCCGGCTTGGTATTCGACGTTCCTCGGCGGAGCAGCACAGCTGCTTCGCACACGCCGTTGGCGCGGCTTGGGCTCGGCGCCCCACTGGCGACGGCCCATCGCTTACCACGTTTGTGGACACTCCGACGGCACGTTGGACGCGCTACCCACAGCTATCGTCCTCATGCCCCTTCGGGCTTGCCACTCGGCACCTCTTGAATTCACCAGCTTTTTGCCGTGTTGCAAGTGCTCGAGCACCCTGGACGCCCCCTGCTTGCAGCTTCTCCCGCGCAGTCAGCCGCTGCTGTATGAGTGGGCCGGCCGGCTTGCGGCGCATTTAGCTGCTAATTAGGCCGCTGTCGTGACCCGTCGCGCTTCTGACTCCGTTTGCGCCTTCGCTTGCGGACGCGACCAAAAAATATCCCCACCAGCCCATCCAGAAACGATGCCCATGAGAGCAGACGGGAGGAGAGAGGAAGAGACGCGCATAGTCAAACAGCGAGGAAGGCCCGCCTGCACGGCGTGTTTGGGCCATCTGCGGGCCCGCGTGCGGGGGAGGGGTGGTGGGCGAAGAGGAAGAGGAAAAGGAGGAGGAGGAGGAAGAGCAGGAGGAGGAGGAGGAGGAGCAGGAGGAGGTTGGAGGAGGCAAGAGGAACAGGACGAGGAGAAGGAGGTTCGAGGATGAGGAGGGCAAGGACACAGAGAGTGATGATGATGATGATGATGATGATGATGTTGTTGATGATGATGATGATGATGATGATGATGATGATGATGATGATGATGATGATGATGATGATGATGATGATGATGATGATGATGATGATGATGATGATGATGATGATGATGATGATGATGATGATGATGATGATGATGATGATGATGATGATGATGATGATGATGATGATGATGATGATGATGATGATGATGATGATGATGATGATGATGATGATGATGATGATGATGATGATGATGATGATGAGGAGGAGGAGGAGGAGGAGGAGGAGGAGGAGGAGGAGGAGGAGGAGGAGCAGGAGCAGGAGCAGGAGGAGGAGGAGGCATCTTGAGGCCCCGGAAGGCCATCGAAAGCAACAAGGCGAGAAAACCATAATCATGTGCGTTCGTTTTGTTTTTGAAGGGTGTGGGCATCTCGGCGGCATCCTGGGGACGCTCCGCGGCCATCCCGAGACATCTTAGAGAGATCTTGGAGCCTCTTGGAGCATCTTGGGAGCCATCTGGAGCTAGCTTGGGCTATCGCGAGCCATCTTGAAGGTCATTTTGGGCTCTCTGAGGCTGCTCGGGGGCCGTGCGGGGGCCTCTTGGGGGCCTCGAGTGCTTTTTGGAGGCCTCTTGGGGTTTCTTGGGGTGCTCTTTAGGCCCTCTTGGGAGCCCTGGAGGGCCTCTTGGGGAAATGTTGGAGGCGGTCGGTAACAAGTGGGGGGGTACTCGATTTGCGCCCTCCCCTCGGGGGCCACGATCCTCGTGAGGGGTGGCAAAAATGGCCCTCCCAACGGCCGAAAAAAAGGTCCTCCGACACCTCGCGATCCCTCCCAAACAACCTCAGGGAGGGGAGGGGGGGGTCCCCTCCCCGAAGGGAAGAGGGGCTGTGGAAGAGGAAAGAGACCCTCGTTAAACCACCTGCCGCCCCAAGGGCTGGTGGGATTCGACGAGGCTTAATTTGATCCTCGATGCGGAATGGTGTTGGCGGTCCTTCTGGGCCTCGATGCCCCCTCTGGTTGCCCCCCCCCCCCGAGGACGTCACCTGGCTCTGCTGGGAGAAGGAGCGGCTGGCCGACACCGTGGACGCCCGCCTGCGGCAGGCCGACACGCTGCTCGGGTCCTGCCAGCACGGGGCGCTCAGGGGCGCCGCGCTCGCCGCTTGGAAGTGCGACTGCTGCCGCGTGCTCCGAAAGCCCAGCTCTGGCGCATTTGCCCAGACATCCTAGCTAAGCAGGGGGCTATTGTTATTCGTGGGACCCCTCCGCCTCATTCCGTCTTTTCCCGCCGCCCTCAATCACTCGCACGCAGACGCAACCACACTCAGGCAGACTTATATTCAGACTCGCGCATACTGAAGCCACTCACGTTCAGACCCACGCGTACTCCTCGTACACATACTCAGGCTCATCACACACCACTCACGTTCATATAACGGCCGAGCGTATGATTAATAAACCTCTTCCCGAGCAGCTGGGCCAGTGTGTGCCAGCGTTTCTTCATCAACCAGCTGGGAAGCTGGCCCAGCTTGAGCACGTTCGCGCCTCTGCGGCGCTGACCGATAACATGCTGGCCCTGGTTTGCTTCAAGACACTTCTGGGAAGCTGGCCCAGGTTTCTCAGATCATGGGTTTGCGTGCGCATATACATATAACGGCGCACCGGGCCCGGGGGCCGAGGGCCGGAACCTCGACCGCAAATGTGGGCCCTGGGGCCCGCTCCCGCCTCTGGGAGGCCCAAAATCGCCCCGGGTAGCCCTCAGACAGCAATCCGGGCGGCCCCAGACGGTCCCGAGACACCCCCAAGACGCCGTCCAGGGGTCCCTGGCGACGCACGATGCGTTTTAAACTGCCCCGGAGGCCCCCAAGACGCCCCAAGAGGCCTTTAAGATGCCGCCCAAGAGCGCCGACGAAGTGCTTGCGGGGGCCAGGGCAGCTGCCATAGGCGCTGAGTGCTCCGCCAGCATCGACGCGCCAGGTCTTCCTGATCTGATGAGGTTTGCGGTCGTGTCGACCTCGAACTTGACCCCTTCTTCGACGAAGTCCCTGGGGCCATGCTGGAACCCGACCGCTGGAACGTCGTCGGCGGCCAGGAGTTCACCGAGGTAGAGGACATTCTGGCGCTCGGCGGGGCCCGAGCCCTGCTGCGGAGCCTGGAGCGCGTCGCCCGCGCGCGTTTTGACCGTGGCATTCGTCATGTGCTGATTCGTGGCAGCTTTGGTCTCGTGGTCTCTCGGCGGGCCGATTGACGCGTCGCAATGTCATAGTGAGGATGGCCGCTCGGTGCCCCGGCGGCGACGCGCACCGGGCCGCGCGGCGGGCCCCGTCGGTGCCCTTTCCCGTGTCAACAGGCACGACAGCCTCTGCAATGTGCAGGGCGTTGAAGATGATGACCACCCCTTTCGTTGAGAGCACGCCTCCGATGACCCTGAGATCCTGGCGACTCAATTTTTTCGAGCCGGGCGTTGCCGCGCAATTTATGGCCCCGGGGCCCTCGCGGATCGATCCGGTTTGAAAAATGGCGCAGAAAGATGGGGCCTGGGGCTCCAGGCTCGATTTTTCACGGCGCCTCGATATTTTTGAGACGTCGGATCTCAAGGGGCGCGTCTCGCAGTCTATAGGTTCAGACCCACAACGGCGGGGCCTATCGTCCACCGCGAGAGTGGCGCTCCCGGGTTTCTCGAGGGAGTCCCAAGGGTTTGTTGCGCCCTTGCTGCCCTGGGGCCGCCCCCCTGCACCGTTGCCTTTCTGGCCCCCCCCGGCAGGGCGAGCCCGGCCTGACTTTTCACAGGGGGCGGCCCCGCAAGGTGGCCGCTGCAATTGAGGCCCGTCCAGCGTTGTTGCGCTTCGCCGTGCCTCTGTAGCCGCTTTGGCTTAAAATGGCATCCAGCCAGCATCTCAAATCGCCCGTTCCAGAGCGAGTCCGTACTTCGGCCTCGACCAGGCCCTGAGGAAATGCCGGCCTGGTTGGGCCCGCGAGGAAGCGTCGGGCCGCGTCCAGCGCGGGCCCTTCCGCGCCGCGGCAGCGCCTTTCCCGCGCCCCTTCAGTGCTTAGGCTGGTCGGTCCCAAGGCCTTGCAGCGGCGCGCGGGCCTTTGGCGGGGGCTCCGATGCGACGCCGCCGCTCGAGGGGCTCCGACGGCGCCCGCTGGAGGCGCCCGAGGTCGGCGAGGCCTCGAGCTTCGAGGGCGGGGAGCTCGAGCAGGAGTCCGCGCCGGCGCGCGAGGCGCGCGCCCCAGCCTCGCGCCCGACGGGCGCTGTCGAGGAGCTGCTCGAGGCTGGCGAGCCCTTCCCGAGCTCGCGCGCCGGATGCCGGGGGAGAGCGCGCGGCGCTTCGGCGGTGGACGGAGGTCCAGTGCGCGCGGTGGTGCAGAAACTTCTGAACATCCCCGTGGATGACCTCGACGACGGGCTCTTGGACAACCAGATCTGACATGATGTAGGCTCGCTGGATGCAGCTGCTGGCCGGCGCGGCCTACGCCGAGCCGAAGGTGGCCCGTAAGGGTCCTCGCATTTTGCGCCGTAGCTGGCGCGCGCTGAAGAAGTGGCTGAATCTCTGTCCGCCAACGCCTCGCTTGCCCCAGGCGTGGCCCATTTGGTGTGCCATGGTGAATGGCATGGTTTTTGTTGGCCGCTGCGACATGGCCCTGCCGCGTGCCTGATGTGGAGTGCGCGCGCCAGGCCGATCCAGTTGATGGCCAACCCTCACGGGCGGCGACTTGTTGGGCGGTGCAACTCAGACCCAGGTCCGCGGGGGTGCCGTCCAAGGCGACAGCGTTCGACGTGGCAATCGAGCTCCTGCCGCGAGTGGTGAGCGCAGTTGGCCCCCGTGTTGGAGGCCCTGCCAGCCCTGCCCAGTGGGCGCAGCGCGCAGGGTTTTCGCGTGGCGGCCGCCGTCGCCGCGCAAGAGGTTTCAGCCTAGTCGTGTATCAAGTTTGACGCAGCGGCGCGAGCTCGAACACGGCCGCTTGCACGCGGACGATTGCAGAGGCCAACAAGCGTGGAGGCGGGAAGCTGGCCGCTCAGTCGCTCGGTGAGAGAAGGGCGCAGGGCGGCCCAGCACGAGGGCCCGCCGCCCGCGGTAAACGCAGGACTGCGCCGAGCGCTGCGAGGAGAAATTCGTGGCGATCTTGCTGCCTGGCCTCGCGGTGTCAAGACCCATTTCCACTTGCCGCTGAGCAAGCGCTTGTGATCGGCGCGTGTTTCATGGCGACTTATAATATCACCCAGTCAGTTTCTCGGTGTGATGCGCTGTTCTGTCGGCCTTGACCGAGACATCCGCGTCCAGCCTATGACGGGGCGCCCACGAAGGCCGAATTGTTGCCCTGTGTGTGTCGCTTCATGGCCCCGATCTGCCTCGTGGCCACCGGAGACTGGTTGTCAACGCTGTCGGATGTCAGTTGCCCGTTATCGTTAAGTCGTGCAGAAGTGATTGCGACACCAGTAAGCTCAAGCTTCCAGAGCTTCCAGTCTGTACCGCTCCCTTGTCGCATATACTCAGATATGGAGGCCGATCCCGATCTCCAGTCCTCTCGCATGTTTTGATTATTCTGTCTGCCGTCTGTTCCCGCCTTGGCCTTGAGTGTCCAAGCAAGCGGGCAAGAGACGGCCATTCCCCTCGCCAGTTCGTTCCTCGGGCCTCTGAGCTGGCCCCGAAGCTTTTCCAGAAGGCCGTCGCTTTCGTAGTGTTGCCCGTCCCTTGTGCTCTGTACTAATCAGTGCGAGAACAGACTCTGTTTGGGAATCCCGATTCGGGGCCCTGTCGGCGGGGGGCCAAAGGCGGAGCGGAGCCTCCGCCTCCCCCCGCCCCATGTCGGATCCGAGCCGCTTTGACCAGCGAGTGCAGTACACCTTAGGCGATGCTTAAGAAAACCTAAGTTTTCGGCCAGAGTCTCGATTATTCTTAACGTTTCAATGTAAATCTTAAGATTTTAACAGAAAGGTTGGGTTTTTATTCAAGTTCTGAGACTATGAATTTCTTAACCCATGATTTCTTAAGCATTTCGCAGGGTGTATGGAGAATTGTTCCTCGCCTCGAAAGAATACTGAACCATAGCGGTGTTCATCGTAGTTTCGGCTGTACCCTTCGTGCCCACATATGTTTTGACGGTGCTTCCCACAATGCCCTGGGCATGTTTATGCTGTTCGCCCATGCCTTTGCCTCGCCCCTCCTTCTTTCCCGCCGCCTCCCTACGACACTCTCGCCCAGGCTCGCTCGCACTCCGGCTTATCCACATCCAAATTCAACCGTATTCAAATTCATTGATATCCAGATGCAGTCGGATCTTTTCATTCAGAGGTATTCGTCGGCAAACTTCTCATTTTCAAACCCGCTAGACACTCAGACTCATTCGACCTCCGAATCACTCGCGCTGTTTCGCAACCGTAGCCATTCACATTCAGATTCGCTTGCGCTCATTCACCACTCGCACCTGAGACTCGGTCACTCGCTCTCAATGGCACACAGGATGTAGCAGGCATGGCTCTTGTGCACCCCAAGGAGGGGCCGCCAAGGGACATTACATTTGCCCGTTCGCACCCAGCTTAAGGAGGTCGTCTTAAGCAAAACGCTGGTTGTGCACACTCCCTATTCCCTCGCCTCTCATTGTCCCATGGCCACCGCGATGTAGCAGACAACCATGGCATTGAGGAGCCCCCAAGTATAGCGGCCACGAGGTATTACAGCTGCCCGTTCGCCACCAGATTTGGGGGACGTCTTGAAGGAAACGCTCGTTTTGGCCCTAGCGATTTTTCTTTTCAGAGCCCCAGGACCTACGCGATGCAGCAGCGATGTAGCAGGCGTGGAGCTTGTGCACGCCAAAGGGGGCGGCGCCATGGGTTATTAGAGTTGCCCGTTCGCGCCCAGATTGTTGGGACACTTCATGATGCCAATCGCTGGTTTTGGCTCACCCGCTCCTCACCTTTCAGAGCTTCATGACCACCGCGATGTAGGTGGCATTGCATTTGGGCACCCCAAAGGGGAGCCGCCAGTGGGTGACCACATTGTTGGGAGCGAAGCGTTGGTTGCGGCCCCCCTCGGCTCCTCTCCTTTTCAGAGCCCCATGACCACCGCGGTGCAAAAAGCGTACGCTTCGGCACCCGAAAGGGGAGCCGGCTGGGGGTATTACGCTTGCCCGTTCGTGTTCATATTGTGGGGGTGTCTCAGGCGGAACGCGTGCTTTGGCCTCCCGACATTTTTGTCCAGAGTTACATGATCACTGCGATGTAGAAGATATGGCGCTTGGACACCCAAGAGAGAGCCGACATGAGGTATTGCTGTTGCCCTCTTTTCCACTCCCCAGATCGTGGGTATTGGAGAAACGCTGGTTTTGCCCCCGCCCCCCCCCACCACACACACACGCACACACGCCCCGACCCTTCTTTTGTCAGAGAGCCCCATTATCACCGGGACGCAGCAGACATAGCAGTCGGGCACCCCGAGGGGGGGGGGGGCGGCGCCAGGGGGTATTATATTTGCCCGCCGTTCAAACCCAGGTTGCGGGGAGGCGTTCAGAAGAATGGCAGCTTGTGGCTGGGGGCGGCGTGGTGTCAGAGCCTCACGATCACCGCGATGTAGCAGGCATGGCACTTGGGCCTCCCAAGAGGGAGCCGACAAGGGGTGTATCATCTGCTCTGCCCGCTCGCGCTTAAACTTGCCCATGGTCAGACGCCCACAAGGGAAAGTGCCAGAACGCGAGATGCAGATGTGGGGACCTCCGTCTTGAGTAACTCAAGACCCCAGGTCCTGACACGCGTGGGGAGGATTATTTGTGGTGTGGGGGGCACGGCCACGTGGGGTCTCTTGGGTTGGAAGTTGGAAGTGGTGAAACCAGGGCGATTCCGCCCTGTGCATTGCGCCTTACTGTAGACCTCGAGCAGGGGCTTCCCAGGAAGAAGCCGTATTTTGACAATGGCCTCGCAGCCGCCCCTCCCTGGTCGTGCAGTGCTCTCTTTTCGCTGGACGGAAGTGGCTGCGTGTGCCGTGCCGTTCCCCAGCTGTCGTGGAGGACTTTTTCTGTGGGCCTTTCGTAGGACTTCTTCTGCTGTGACCTCTCGTAGGTGCGACCGGGGGCTCGGAGGCTTGGGTCCTCGGAGAGGAGGAGGAGGAGGAGGAGGAGGAGGAGGAGGAGGAGGAGGAGGAGGAGGAGGAGGAGGAGGACCAGGCGCCGAGCCAGCCCTGCAACGTTCGGGGGACAGTGCGCACACGCCCGTGGCTCCCGGGCCCGGCGGGCTGGGCTCGGCCTGCGCAAGGCAGGTGCGCCGGCGGCGGGAGCGGCACCTGCAGCACGCGGGAGCCTTCGCGGTCAGGGCCGCGGGCGTCAAGGCGTTGCGCTCGGCGCTGCACGCGTGGAGGGGGCGCCGCCTCGCCGAGGTCCAGCGGGGGCGAGAACCGCGCTTGGCATGGGCCACGTCTCGAGGGGTCGGAGCGCTGCCGCCCCAAAAGAGTGCTCTGCACCTCGGCGCGGCCTCGGTGCGAGACGTAACTGTGTCATGACCGCGAGCTCGGGCGAGGCAAGTTTGGTCGTCAGCCTGGGGTGGTGTTGGCGATCTGCGCCGGCGTGGTGCCACCCCAGGAGTTATTGATCATGGCCACCAACTCGAGCGAGGCTGGTTTGGTCCTCAGCCTGGGGTGGTATTCGCGGTCTGCGTTGGAGTGCTCCCACTCTCAGGATGCTTTGCTCATTTATTGCGGCTGCGTTTCGAGACGTTATTTCTCATTGCAAGTTATTTGATCGGGGCAGGTTTGGCCCTCAGGTTGGGGTGGTGTTGGACGGTCCGTCTGGGCCTCGAAGCCCCCTCTGGTGGCTCCACACCCCCCCAAGGACGTCACCTGGCTCAGGTGGGAGAAGGAGCGGCTGGCCGACTCCGTGAACGCCCGCCTGCGGCAGGCCGACACGCTGCTCGGGGCCTGCCAGCACGGGGCGCTCAAGGGCGCCGCGCTCGCCGCTTGGAGGTGCGACTGCTGCCGCGTGCTCCGCCAGCCCAGCTGCGGCGCATCGTCCTTTATATCATAAGTATGGGGTTCTTGTTTTTGAATCTCTTCGCTCATTACGCCGGCTCATATTGCGCGCCGCTGTCGACTGGCCGAGTGGTCTTCCGCGGTGCGGAGCTGCAGGGGCGGCGGCTGTTTTCATCAGGCTTTGCGTTCGGCATGTGAGGCTTCTTGGTGGCCGCTGGGGGAGTCTTGAACGCGTCGCGGGCCGTCTGGAAGCGTTTGGCCTATGGGGGGACTCTTTCGGGAGGCCTCTTGGTGGCCTCTTGGGACTCTTAAACGCGTCGGGTCGCTGGCACTTGCTTGCGTGCTCGGGGGAGCATTTGGGGGCCTCCTGAGGGCCTGTTGGGGGCCTCTTGGGGCCTCTTAGGGGCCTCTTGGGGACTCCTGGGGGCTTCTTAGGGCCGAGGGCTCGAAATGTTGTTACGTGTTCCCTCTCTTGGAGCGTTCTTGGGGCCTTCTTGGGTGAGAGTACTCTTGGAGGCCTCTTGGGCCGTCTGGGGCCCATCTTGGGCGTCTTGGAGCGATCTTGTGGCATCTCGGATCTCTCTTGTATCATCTTGAGGGGCTCTTGGTGGCCTCTTCGCCTTTCTTGGGGTCCTCTGGACGGCCTCGAGGGCGGCGCCCAGGAGGAAAACCATCTTTGATCCGAGTCTCCCGGGACCTGCCCAGGAAACTTTTCGCCCGAAGACCCTCATAATCATTGTACAGCAGTTACCGGAGATCTTGGCACGCCTCTGGCCCGTTGGGCCGGCGAATTAGGGGGACCTTTTCCGCCTCACTCTTTCTCCTCCCCCGTCCTCCACTCGCACGCAGACCCACCCACACTCAGACTCACTCGCACAGGCTCGCTTATGCTCAGATCACGCACGTTCGGATCCCTTCATAGTTTGCAGTCGTATTCAGACGCATTACAGACCACTCACAATCGTAGTCTTCTTTGTGCCATGAAATTGTTTTGTTATGTCCACCAGATCATAACCGTGGACTTCATCTTACTCACTTATGCCTTCGCCTTCTCCTTCCCGCCGACCCCCTTCCATACTCACTCAGCTCAGACACCCTGAGTTATTATCACTCAAACTCCGGCTTATTCACATTCAGACTTACTCGCATTCAGACTCAGTTATACTCAGACCCACTCGGACCCCCCAGTCATGTGCAGTCACGCAGTCTCAGACTTCGCACACCGAGACTCGCTCGACACTCAGACTCTCCCAAAGTTCGAGTCACTCATAGTCACTCATGCTCGGTCTCGATCACACTCAGGCTCACTCATGATCAGGCTCACTCACACTTAAACTCACGTGCACCACTCACACCCAGACTCGCTCACCCATGACCACCGCGATGTAGCAGGAATTGCGCTTGGACACCCCAAGGGGGAGCCGCCAGGGGGTATTACATTTGCCTGTTTGCGCTCAGATTATGGGAACGTCTCAAGCCAAACGCTGGTTTTGGCTCACCGATTGATTTGTTTTCACAGCCCCATGATCACCGCGATGTACCAGGCATAGCACTTGGACACCCTAACGGGTAGCCGCCAGGGGGTAGCTCGTTTGCGCCTAGATTGTCGGGAGCGAATCGCTGGTGTTGCCCCCCACCCCCCGACTCCTTCATTTTCCGAGCACCATGACCACCGCGATGTAGCAGAAATGGCACTTGTGCACCCCAAAGGGGGGGGGGGTCGCCTGGGGGTACTAAAGTTCCCCCCCCCAGTCGCGCTCAGATTGCCGGGATGTCTCAGGCGAAACGCGTGTTTCGGCCTCCCGGATTCTTCTCCTTTCAGAGCTTTATGATCACCGCGATGTAGCAGGCATAGCCCTTCGGCGCCCCAAGTGGGGGCAGGAGGTACTGCACTAGCCCGAGGCGCTGCCAGCGCCACGGGGGGCGGATGCGCCACTTCCCGTTTCAGCGCCAGGACGAGCGTGCGAATGTCCACGAGTGCAGTGATCATTCACCGCGTGTTCGCCCCCCCACCGCCCCGACTCCTCTCCTGTCAGAAACTCCCGTGATCACCGTGATGGAGCAGGGCATAGAATCTGGGCCCCTCCAGGGGGAACAGCGTCAGGGAGTATTACACTTGCCCGTTCAAGCCCAGATTGCGTGGACGTCTCTAGTAGAATGGATGCTTGTTGCTGAGCATGAGTCTTGAGCCAGAGCACCATGAGCACTGTGATGTAGCATGCATGGCACTTGGATTTCCCCATGGGGGAGCCGCCAGGGCGTGTATGATTTGCCCGCTCGCGCTTAGATTTCCTGTTGCTCAGACATTCACAGAGGAAAGTGCTGGAAGGTGAGATGCACATGTTGCGGGGATCCCCACGTTGAGTAATTCAGTTGTCCAGGCCCTTGACACGTTGGCAAGAGGACTGAGGCATAAATTGATGGGAAGATTCTCAGTGGGGTCTGGGGCACGGGCAAGTAGGGACTCTTGGGGCTGGATGTGGTGGAACCAGGGCGAGTCCGCTCTGTGCATTGCGCTTCACTGTAGACCTCGAGCTGGGGCTTCCCCGGGGAAGCCGTGTCTTGCGCCTGGCCTCGCAGCCGCCCCTCCCTGGCTGGCGCGCGCGTGCACCTGGTTATGCCCTGCTTTCTTTCGCTCGACGGAAGTGGCCTCGTGCGCCGTGCATCCGCAATTATGTCGTGGAGGACGCTTTGGCTGCGGCGTCTCGTGGGTCTCTTTCTGTCCTCGGGCGCGACGGGGGCCGATTCAGGCCTGCAACGTTCAGGGGAAAGTGTTCACACGCCCGTGGCTCACGTGCCCAGCGGTTTGGGCTCGACCTGCGCAAAGCAAGTGCGCCAGTGGCGGGAGCGAGACTTGCAGCACGCGGGAGCCTTGGCGGTCAGGGCCGCGGACGCCAAGACGTTGCACAGAGCGTTGCATGCGTGGAGGGGAAGCCGTCCAGCCCAGGTCCAGAGGGGCAAGAACCGCGCACCGCGCCAATTTGGATGCGGTGCTTCGAGGAAAGTCACCATCATATAATGATCGCTGTCTTCTCCCGCTCCGCCTTTATTATCAGTAACCTCCCCCCTTCCACAGACCACCCCCTCTCATCGTCCTCTCCTCTCTTCGCAAGGTTGAAGCAACTACTCCATGGCCAGGATGTGAAGGGCACAGGCACGAAGATATGCGCAATGAGCTTTTCATGATGGAGCAGGAGCGGTCCGAGGTTCTTCAGCAGCTGAAGCAGGATCTGGCTGCCGATATTGCGCAGCAGATGCAGGATCTGCAGGCCAAAATCGATGCCATTGAGACGCGCGAGGGCAACATCAGGGACGTGGTCCGAACGCACATGGGCACCAGCATGTCGGCGAAGGCCTCCGCAGCCCAGGTGTCGTGCGAGAGCACGGAGGAACAGGTAGACGCGTTCATGGAGTTGATCGAGAGGGTCTGGGCTGCGAAGACTGCGAAGGGTCAAAATTTGCTCCACGAGCTGTGCGCCAACCTCAGGCAGCCGAGTGAGCAGGGCGGCGCGGAGCCGCTCAGCCCCCCGGTGCTCGCGGAAGTCTGCAGGGAGGCTTGGAGGCAGCACGGCCAGAAGCCTCTGATAGGGGAACGAAAAATGACATAAGCATAAAAACGCGGCTGTCCCTCTACAGGAGGAGTATTCAAAAATAGTCAAAAATAGTCAGGGGACGATTTGTTTTAACTATGTTTGGCAAGTTTGAGGCATTTTATCAGTATTTGTTTTCGTTCAAGATCCGCCTGTAGGAGGACATGCCCGACCTAAAACTAGGAGGTCCGCGCGAATTTCTGGGCTCCGCACTAGACCCCCCTTACCGGCGCGCGGAGCGCGCCAGGGGCGGCGCCGGAGGCGCCGCCAGGGGGCCCCAGCGCCAATCCGAGCAATCCGCGCGGACCTCTGAGTTTTTATGTTTATGTCATTGTTCGTTCCCCGAGCTGAACTCCACCCTGCAGGATGGCCTCCGCTCGAGGGAGGAAGAGCAGCATGAAAACGTAGACCTCCGGAGCTCCGCGCGGACTTCGCGGGTCGGCGCTGGACCCTCCTGGTGGCGCCTCTGGCGCTGCCCTTGGCGCGCTCCGCGCGCCGGGTACACCCTAGGCGATGCTTAAGAAGACTTACGCTTTCGGCCAGAATCTCGATGATTCTTAACGTTTCAATGTAAATCTTACGATTGTAATGGACATTTTGGGTTTTTATTCAAGTTCCGAGACTATGAATTTCGTAACCCATGATTTCTTAAGCATTTCGCAGGGTGTAGGGGGGCCCGGCGCCGATCCAAGCAGTCCGCGCGGACCTCCGACCGTTTATGCTAATGAAGTCCTTTCTTCCTCGATCCCCTCGCTGTGGGCAGCTGGGTCTTGTACACCATGCAGGACGTTGATGTCGACCGGCTGTTCCAGTTCAAGGACTGCCCACGGCTGCCCCAGGGCATGGAGGAGCCGGCCAAGCGGGACGAGTTCTACAGGGGCTACCGGGAACGCTGCGGCCGCAGGCGCAACCCACAGATGTTCGCGGTGGCCAACAGGGCCACGCGCGTGTGTTTTGACAGCTGTGGGGACGTGCAGTCAAAGGAGGGGTTTGACTCGTTCGAGGATTTGCGGACTTGGGTCAAGTGGCTCTGTTTCCTCGGAGTCTCCGCCAAGACGCTGGATCCTCCTGTGACGGTCACGCGGGGCCTGTGCGGTTTGCCCGACACGATTGTGGACAAGCACAAGAGCAGAATGGTGGGGGACATCTTGTTCTGGGCGGCCCCATCCAGCACGACCGACGACGCCTCGATCTCGGAGGCGTACTGCAACCAGCATGCGCCGAGGAAGAACAACGTGCTCGTTACCATCTCCGGCGTCAGCCAGGCGTTCCCAATGTTCCACTTGAGCTCTTACCCGAAGGAGCGGGAGTGGTTGCTGCCGCCGTTCTGCAAGCTGCAGGTGGAGCGCGTATTCGGCGCTGAGCCGTTGCAGGTTCACTGCAGGTTTGTGGGCTGCGTACTCGGGGGCGACCTGCGCGAGAAGATCCTGCGTGACTTCCAGGAGAGCTCCGACATCCTGAGCAGCGTGTTGGAAAAGGAACTGAGGACTCACAGCGAAGTCGTCGGGATGCAGGAGAAGCTGGCCGAGGCGGAGAACGTCGCGCAGGGGGAGCTGGCGGCGGCTCGGCGGAAGCCCGCCACCGTGCACGAGGCGCAGGAGGTGCGGGAAGGGCTGCAGGTCAAGATCGATACCATCATGGAGCTGCAGGCCAGCATCCTGCGCGGCTTCAGAGAGGGCACCGACGTCCGGAGCCGCGTGCAGGAGGAGATGCGCAGCGCGCTCGCCGCGACGCAGCAGAGGCTGACCGAAGATGCAGAGAAGCATGCGCTCGTCGTGATGCGGCAGCTGCAGCAGGATCGGGCGGACGGCAGCGGGGGCGGGGGATAAACGTCGGGCGATCGAGGGTTGGAGGAAAGGGCCCCTAAGTGGGTCCCCGGAGGGGCCTTCAACTGCCACCGCAGGCCCAGAGGGTACAGAGAGGGTGTGCGTTTCTTCGCCCAAGCTTGCGTCCCCTCCGGTGAACGAAGGAGCTGGCGGTCGCATCCGCTTCGTGGGCCGGCGAGGGGCCCTAACAAGCAACCGCGTGCTCAGAAGGTCGCCAAAAGGGCGCGCGCTGCTGATGGGCCCCTGCTTTCCACCACCACCACAAGTTAGAGGGGGAAGGACGAGGAGGAGGAGGAGGAGAGGGAGCAAAAGGAGGAGGAGGAGGAGCAAAAGGAGGAGGAGGAGGACCCCTCCCCCTCCTACTTGTGGTGGTGGCTGTGGAAGACAAGCCCACCAGCTTCTTCACCCCTCGTGTTTGCTGCCTCCCCCCCCCCCCCCGTGAACAACAGGAGCTGGCAGTCGCTCCCGCCTGGTCGCGCGGGGGCGGGGCGCGCGGGCCGACCTCGCGGGGCGCCCCCTGGATGACCGCGCGCGCGGTGGCGTCCGTCACGCGCGCCGCCGTGTCGGCACCGGGAGAGGAAGCAGCTGCACAACACACAAACTGTCGGAGCTCCGCGCGACTCTCAAGACCTTTTGCTGAGAATCTCCCGGCGGTAGCTGGCGTGACCAGGGGGAGAGGGGGGGAGGGGGGAGGAGGGGGCCAGGCACCTCACGATTCGCGCCCCCGTCGCCCGGGAATGCTCAGGTGTGGCCGATTCGCCTATTCCCAGCATGGCGACGGCG